AAAAAAAAAAAAAAAAAAAAAATTCTCTGTCCATTTGTAGACAAATTCACTTTTTACCCCTAACCCACCGCTTATTTTTTTGTTTGTTTGTTTTTACAGTTTTGCCATTTTTAGAGAGTCATATGAATAGAATGATATAATATGTCATCCTTTGAATCTGTCTTCTTTCTCTCAGCATAAGGCCTCTGAGGTTCATGTGTGCTGTAGAGTGAATCAAGAGATCATTCCCTTTTGTTGCTGAATAGTATTCCATTCTATGATTATGCCAATTTTCTTATCCAAGAGGAAGGACATAAGAAAAGATTTGGATTATCTCCTCTGTTTTGCTTTTATGGACAGTGCTTTTGGGAACATTTGTTATGTGTCTTTTTGTAGACACGTTTTCATTTTTACTGCATAAATACCCAAGAGGAGAACTTATGGGTTGTGTGATAAGTGTATGTTTGACTTTGACCACCCTACCAAGCAGTCTTCCACAACTGCAGCAACCTTGTGCACTCCCACCCGCCATACGCAGGAGCTCCAGTTGCTACACAGCCTTGCCAACACTTGCCATTGTCAGTCTTTCCAATATTAGCGATTTTAGTAGATGGGAAGAAATATCTCATTATAGTTTTAATTTGCATGTCCTCAGGGACTCATGATGTTGAGCACCTTTCCATGTGTATATTGGCCATTCATACTGGAATTCCTTTTTTATTTTTTTTTTTATCTTGAGAGAGAGAGAGAGAGAGAGAGAGAGAGCTAGGGAGGGGCAGAGTAAGAGGGAGAGAGAATCCCATGCAGCTCCCCATGAACCATGAGATGAGCCAAAACCAAGAGTCAGACACTTAACTGACTGAGCCACCCAGGTGCCTGCATACTGAAATTTCTTTAATGGTAGAAATACTTAGTTGTAAAAGATAGGAACTCATGAAGGGGACAGATATGGGCTTGGAACTGTGTTCCCCTCTGACATGCTGAGGCAGGAGTGGACCTGTGTGAATAATTCAGAAGGAACAACCCTGTCCTGAGGAAAAGCAATGGGGCCAGTTCACTGTTGATGGCTCACAGCAATATTACTGAGGAATTGCTCACCTCTTCATTTAAAATTCTCTATGCAAATGTCCATACCAGGTGGCTTCAAGGTGAAGTCTTGGTTTTGGAGGCCACTGGGTTTTATTTAACTGCTCCATGTTGATAATACCAGCTCATCCATCATGTACCAAAGAAAACATACCAAACCTTTTTTTTTTTTATTTTCTGCATTCCTCCCAGAGAGAACAAAGCTATCAGCAACTCCATTTAATATAGTTTCACTTGCATATAAAAGCAGCATGGCTAGGAAAGGACATAGACACCCACTTGGTGGAGCTCCCAATGGCCAAACATGGGACAGTGTGAGCAAGAAAATAAATAATGATAGTAATAGATTATGACCCACAGAATAAAATAAATATTACAAGTCCATACTGAGATAAAAATATAGTTGAACAAATAAAGAAATGGGGGAGATGGGACAGCAATTCTTACAGCAGAATTTCAATTGTTAAATCCAAGGGGAGTGATGGAGATGGAAAATGGCCATTTGGCACACATCACACTGATGGACCACTGATGGATGCAAAGAGGAGACGGTTGAAGTATGATTTGAAACGGGATATTGGCAAAGTCTTAGTATCTCCTTATAAGTTACTTATTACAAGGGAGAAACAGTAACTGCAGTGGAGAAAACTGGTGGACATCACCTTGACCAAGTGATCAAGGTCAGTGTCACCAGTAATGGGACACAGCAATACCATGTAGCTCCTGATATGATGCACTGAGAAGGACACAAGATCATCTCTGTGGTACTTTGGCCCAAAATGCATAACCTCAACCTGATCATTAAAAAACATTAGACCCCAATGAGGGACATTTTACAGAATAACTGGCCAGTATTCAAAAGTCTCAAGGTCATTATAGACAAAGACTGAAGAACTCCCAGACTGGAAGGCACTAGGAAGACATAAAAACTAAATTCAGTGCAGGACCCTGGACAAGAAAGTGGATTGTGGACCAGAAAATAGATATTAGGGGGACAATTGGCAAAATTTGAGTATGGTCTGTAGATTAGTTAATAGTATTGTATCTACATTTCTTTCCTGGTTTAGATCATAGTACTGTGCTATGTAAAATATTAACATTTGATTAATATTTGGGGAAATGGGATGCAGGTGATACAGGAAATCTGTACTGTTTTTAGAAACTTTTTCTAAGTCTGACATTATTTACAAATAAACATATACTTGGGTTGTAGAGTCATTCTACCTCTGTTTAAACCTGGCTACCCTACTAACTAGTTGTCTGACTTTGGCCAAGTCATTTCATTCCTTGCCTCAGTTTCCCCATCTATAAAATGGGAATAAATATAGTACCTACCTCAGAGGGTTGTAATGAAGATTAAAAATGTTAGTACATGTGCCATGCCTACAACAGTGCCTTCACACAGTAAGGGCTGTATTATTACATGCAATTATCGTGTGAGGTCAGCAGCATCTTCTATTGATCTTAGGGATATTCCTTTCTCCCCCCCTCTCACTGTGCCTATGAAACTTTCTGATGCAAGACCTGGTGCTGATTCTTTCTCTGACCAGCCATTTTTCTCTAAAAGCATTTCCCCTTCCGTCAGCAGCCAGGTAATGCCAAATCCAACATCAGGATCTGTGCATTAAGGATTATCCACTTTTGAAGGAATCAAAATAACTGCTCTCTGAGTTAAGATTGCTACCGGAGATGCCTGCATTGGAAAGACAGAGCTCACATCACCGAAGAACCTTCTGGGGTCCCTTTCTCTTATTCCTAACATGGGGTCCAGAACTTTCCAGACTTGTGAGACTAACAGCCCTGATTGGTTTGAGGGAGTGGTGGTGTGGATATGCCTCACAATTACCTATCTGAGACTTCACCCCACGTCACATTTTAGTATCTGTTTGACCAATAAGACTGCAGCACACACACCAGCCTCATTCCTTGCTTGGGCCTTACCTTTGATGTCACAATCTGACTTATAGATATTAATCTGGCCACAGCTGCTCACAAACCAGACGGCAAGGTCAAGAGGAGCAGCACAGTAAGATGTGGAAGAGAATTGACCATCAACCCAAAATCAAAGCAGGGGATGGACCTCAGGCAGCCCAGCTCAAAGAACTGGGTGCAGCTCAGGAACCTGCCATGTCACACGCTCTAGAGCTGTCAGAATTCCAGAGCTTTCCTGTGTTTGAAGACATTAGCCATCACATCAAAGAAGAGGGGGCCCAACTGGTAAAGAAAGTCAATGCCATCTTTCAGCTGGACATCACCAAAGATGGGAAGACCATTCTGCAGTGGACCATCGATCTGAAGAATGGTTCTGGGGACATGTATCTAGGACCTGCCAGGCTCCCAGCAGACACTATCTTCACAATCCCAGAACCCATCTTTATGGAGTTGGTTTTGGGCAAAATGAACCCTCAGAAGGCTTTCCTTGCTGGCAAGTTCAAAGTGAGTGGCAAAGTTCTGCTTGGTCAGAAGCTGGAGAGGGTTTTCAAAGACCGGGCTAAATTTTAAGCATGTAAAATAACAAGGAAATGATCAGAACTTCTCTCCGATTATGTTGAGCGGAAATCATGCTTGAACTGAAGATTAAAGCAAAAATATCCATTATTTTTACTCAAATGCTTCCTATTCAAGTTTGATTAATTTTCATGCTGATGTGTTCATTTTTAGTGAGGGTTCTAGAGCAGTAAAGAGTGTTGGAGTACATCACCTAAAATCTTTGTCTTTTTCTTTTTTTAGACTCATGTATGCTATAATGTGCTAGGGTGAAAGCCATACAGAAAAATGGGTGGTTTTGACAGTTGGATTTAGATGCTTTCACGATTGAGTTCCTGAGAAGTTTGTTTGTTTGTTTATGCTTTGGGGAAAGAAGTGCCAACTATCACTGTGTAGGTTTGCATGCCAGTTGGTAACTTGGTTCTTGGAGGAAATTTTAAGTTTGCAGAGCTCTGGGAGGGTGGGCTCCATAGCTGTGTGGGTGGAGCAAGGTCTAGAGGTCTTGGTGTATCATGACTTCAGATGCATTTAATTCCAAGAGAATCCAAGGGCTTGGAAGATGTTCTAGGCTACTGGATCTTAAACTAGAGCCCATATCACACCACTTGCAAGACTGGTGACAGCCTGCTGGGGTCCACCTCAGGGTTTCAATGCCATAGGTCTGGGCTGGGGAGAATGTTCATTTCTAACAGGTTCCCAGGTGACGCTGATGGGACCACCGCTGGAGAACCTTTGCCTTAGTTCATGCTGCAGCTTTCAGGACTGACCAAAACCATTATGTTCTAGACCATTGAGATGTTGCCATTATTTAAAGGATCTCTTAGAATCTCCCCACACCCATGGGCCATTTCTGAAGTGTCAGGAGCTTGTGCACTGAGCATTTTACAAAACCAAAGGTCATCCTGGGAGATTCTCCCTCTGGGAGCCCTGTCCATACATTGGGAGGACTGGAATGAGCCAGCTGCTGCCTGATGTGACCTCTATGGGTGACATTTATTCCCATGTGGTCTGTGTATACCTTTACCATGCATACCTTTATACTGTGAAACCCACACTAAAGGGTCCTTAAAACAGCGTGCTCAAACACATGCCTACCAAATGATCCAGCTATTCTGTTCTTAGGTATTTTCCCAGGAGGAAAGAAAGCATGTGTGCAGGCACAAAAATGTGTACTTGAGTGTTCACAGCAACTGCATTTGCAATAGTCCCAGACTGTAAATAAGCCAAAAGTCCATCAATAGGTGAATGGATGAACAAATTGTGCTATGTTGTACCCTGGAATACTACTTGGATGTACAACAACATGGATGAATGTCAGAATATGCTGAGTAGAAGAAACCAGAGAAAACCAAGTATGGGCTATGCAGTTCTATTTATGTAACATATTAGAAAATGCAAACTGTGAGGACAGAAGATCAGTGGTTGCCAAGAGACAGGGATGGGGAGCAGGGGGGTTTGGGAGGGGCGATTATAAATGGCTATGAGGAAACATGGGGATGATGGATAGGTACATTATCTAGATTGTGATGATGGTTTCAGAGGTACATATATAGGTAAAACATCAAATTGTATACTTTGTATACACATAGGCAGTTTATTTTGTGTCAGTATAAACTCAGCAACACTGGACAACCTGCCATCCTTATCCAAAGTGAAGGCTTTATAAAGAGTATTTAAAGCTCTGCCTTTCTCTCAGCACAAGTCCTCTGACCTCATCATGTGCCTTCCTTTCCAAGCCATTACTGATTTTGGTGGTTCTGTAGAGGACTTCCTAAGTTCCCCTTGTCAGAAACAGGCAGAGTGAGGGCTTGTTGCTAACAAAATCTCATTCTCTCAGTGGGAAACAAAAAGGCCCTTTGTTTAGTCCGTGTTCAGCTCCGTGGTAAGGGACTGTTCAGGGTTTATGAGTGGGGATGTGGAGCACTCCCTGGTCTCTTTCCTCACCTCGTCATTAGGTAGATGATGTGTGTGGGGATCCTGCCAATGCCCCTGCCTAAGGGAGCAGTGGGCATCTCAGAGGCTTCTGACTGATTTTGAGTGCTGTTGTAACTACTCAGCTTGCCTGGTCCAAGCACCTCCATTACAGCCATATTTAGGAGTTGTCAGGCATAGCCAGGCAGGTGTTTGGGATGCTGTGTTCAGATATGGCTTGCTCAAGCTCATTCCCTGAGTTGGTTCTGTTCACACTCTGAGTTGGTCCTAGCCTCTGGTGGCTGGCCTTGAGATGGGGTTGCTCAGAGATGAGGTAGGAGGGGGAGAGGGGTGAGAGGCAGGGAAGGGTTGCAGAGGGTCATGTCTAGGCTGCCATCTGACCAAAGGGAGGCTCATCACATAGACTGGACAGTGACTTACGACCCATTATGGCTTGGGACAAAATGTGTCCCAAGCCAATAGATCCCTTTCTCAGGGATTTGGAAGTGAGAAGCAGAAAGGCTGAGCTACAGGTGAGCAGTGGGAATGGAATCCATCTGAAAGGCTGGGATGTGGGGTATTGGGGGTAGGTAAGGAAGGCTCTGTGGGGGATGGGCAGCCACCATGGTACTAGGTGGAGTTGGAAGAGCCAAAGCCTTGAATAAGAAGAGTGATCTGGTTCACACCTGGGAGAAGAATCCATACCTTGGGAAACACAACAGCAAACCCCTTTTCAAATCGCACAGTGCTGGGATGCCATGTGGAATAGCTGGAGCAACTCAGATTTTAGAATGAGAAACGTAGTTTTGGGCCCTGGGTTACCACTTCACATCCAAGTAATAACAGGGAATTACTGAACCACCCTGTACCTCAGCTGCCTCATCTAGAAATGAGGCCACTAGGTCTTATGACATCAGGTTGTTGGGTAGCTCCTAGTAGGTCATGCTCAGTGTAGTCACTGGCCCAGGTGGGTTTTCCATGCTTATGTAAGTGAGTTCCATTATTTCTGGATGAGACGGAAGAGGGAACTTTCCCTGGCTTCCTGCTGCCTCCCAAGAAAGTCGATATTGGGAGACTTTCTTTCTGCCTTTTCGCCTACACTCAGTTGATGCCCCAGAAGGTCACATCTAGCTCAGAACACACATCTGTATGTTGCTTGGTCTGCGCAAGTGTGGTTAGTACAGTGTTTTTAAAGATTGAATGAATATATTTTATATAAAAATTAGATTTCTGTATTCTCTTGAAAATTTGGATTATTTGGTCACACTGAGCCTGAACTCCTGCCAGACAACAGCTCAGGAAACAGAGAATGGGGTGGACTCTCCGGACAGGCCTGGGCCCCACCCTCCACACTGTCTTCTTGACTCCCAAGATGAATTTTGGTGGCCCTCTGCCCTTGAGCCTGGGCTGTCGTTTCCTCCAGCTGGGCCTGCTTTGTTGGGGCCCCTGGAGGTGTTTGCCTTCATGACTGCACCTCCCCACAATACATGGTCTTACTCTTCCCCTTAATGGAAATACCTGGCGTTAGTTTTCTATTGCTGTGTGACAGATTACCATAATTTAGCAGCTTAAAACAGTGCCCATCTGTTATCTCACAGTCTCTGTGGGCCAGAAGTGTGGGTGGGCTCAGCTGGGTTCTCTGCTCTGGTGTCATCTAACAAGGGCTAAAGTCAAGATGCTGGCCAGGCTGGGCTCTCATCTGGGGTTTGGGGGGAGAATCTGCTCCAAGCTCATCTGGGTGTGGCCTTATTCAGTTCCTTGTGGTTGTAGGACTGAGGCCAGTGTTTCCCTGCTGATTGTCAGTCAAGGATGCTCTGTCAGCTCCTGAAGGTCCCCCACATTCCTGGTCACATGGCTCCTCCATCTGCAAAGCCAATGGTGGTGTGGGAGGTCCTTCTTAGGCTTCAGACCTCTCTGACCTCTTCTGCCTTCATCTTCTGCCTCCTTTTAAAGGACTTGAGGGATTGTGTTGGGCCTACCCAGAAATCCAGGATAATCTCCCTATTTTCTTGTCAACTGATGAGTCACCTTAATTACATCTATGGATTCCCTTTTGCCATGTAAGGTGATGCTACGGACTGAATGATTATGCCTCCTTCCCCCAAGTTTATCTGAGCTCCCTCTTTTCTACCATGTGAGGATATAGCAAGAAGATGTCACCTACAAGCCCGGAGGAGAGAGTTCACCTGCCCCTGACCATGCTAGCGCCTGATCTCAGACTTCCAGCCCCCAGGACTGGAGGAATAAGTATCTGTTATCTGTTGTTAAAAACACCCAGTCCACAGTACTTTTGTTATGGCAGCTTGAGCTGACAGGCAGTATATTCATGGGCATGACATGCCATCACATCCACAGTCCTGGGGACTAGGGCATAGAATCATCCTGGGGCCATATTCTGCTCACCTCCCCCCACCCCTCCAAATCTACCATCTAAACCCCACCCACCCTTCCTCCAGGAAGCTGCCCCAACCCCACTGTCAGCTTCCTCTCCCACAGTGCTTCTGACCCTCTTCTTTCCAGCCCACATACTGTGGGTGCCTGACCTCCTGTCTGGGCCATCCAGACACCTTGGGTTGCTCAGCACAGTTTCATTTTACATTTCTGGCTTGATGTTCGGTTTGTGGCACTGCCTCCTTCAGAAGGGTCTCAGCGTGGATGATGGGAGATGTGGCTGGCCTGCACACCTCCCTGTGCTGGTACACTGCTGAGGGTAGGGATCACTCAGGGCCTGGTTTCACTTTGTCTCATCCTTTCAATGCCTGGTACCCACTGTACATTCCCTAAATGTTTGTAGAATGAACAAACAAACGCCTTAATTTTTTTTGAAAACTATGCACATGGAAAAAGAATTCAAATAGTGCAAAAGAATATGTGAAGAAAATTTGATTCTTCATACTTTTCCTGACTCCTTTCTCCTAATTTTATGCCAAGAGGCACCCAGAGTTACCAGTTTCTTGTGTGCTCTCCCAGATAGGTACAAATCCCCCTAATGTACATGTGCCAATTTCCACTTTTTTGTTTTTACAGGAACAATAGCTGACCACAGAGACTGTTCTCCACCTTGCATTAAAAAAAAATGTTTTATTTATTTTTGAGAGAGTGCA